CAGCTGATAGATTTGCATTCCGCACAAGTACTCGCTCAGCTGTAAAATTTATCTTTTCATTTGTAAATGAGAACAATACATATTAGGTGGTAACTATTTTTTCTGTGTGTGTGTATCATCTGTAAGGAATATTAATTACAACTATCAGAAAAGAAAAAAATGCAGCTGTACCATAGGAGAAAAAACCTAAATCCTCCTCCCTGAGAAGGAAGAGTTATTTCCCTGTAAGAAGCTGCCTCCCTGGCAGATGTTATTACTCCAGGTGCCCCTCCCTGAACAGCCGGAAAGTAACCGTGCACTTGGGCACTAGGTGTGGGAAGGGGGGAAAGAGAGGAGAACAATGTCTTTTTACACAGAGTTGAGTGGGACTGTGTAGTAGAGATGAGGAGAGGAAGGAAGGGCAGCTTCCACAGCCAGCTCTGCTGGATTCTGCAGTGGCCAAGGCTGCCCTCTTGAGAGCAGGAGAGGGGACACTCGCTGGGTACTGCTGGGTGTCCTCGGCATAATGGAGGAAGAGGCAATGGCACACACTCCCTCCCAACTGGGGAAGCCCAGGCAAGCACTAGAACTAGGCTCTAAGAATGCCAAATGTAACAGATGACAGGCACAAATTTTCTACACATAGAAGAAACAAAAACAGCAAAGAATGGTGGCCTAAAATCAAAGAGATGTAAAAAGTCTCACATTGGGCTAGGGTGAATTGATGAACCATGTCAGCAGCAGGCAGGGGCTGCTCAGCTTTAGAATGAAACAAGAAATAAGCTCTGATAGACGAGGAAAGCTAAGTCTGCTATATTTATTTCTAATAATATAGAATAGATATCTGATATAGTCTAGGTGCCAGACAGTTCACATACATCATCTCATATAATGCGACAGGAATCCTGCATAATAGATGCTATACCCATTTTACAGCTTTAAAAAAAAAAAAAATTGTGGCAGAAAGGTTTAATGACTTGCCCAGCGTCACCCAGTGAGTACGTGGCAGATGTCAGGCCTGTCTGACAAGGCTCCTGGACAAGGGCCCTGTGCATCTCCTGAGGATGTTCTGATTTTAAATATTGTTTATATATATAGACCCGGAGTAAGCAAACTTTCTTAAAGGGCCAAATATTAAATAGTTTGGGCTTTGTGGGTCACAGCCTCTGTTGCAAAAACTGTGCTACAGCATGACGAGCAGCCATGGACAATATGTAAGCAAACAGGTAAGTCTGTCTTCCAACAAAGCCGGAGGCCAGTTTGCTGGCTCCTGATATAGAAAAAAGGTTGGGAAACTGCTGCCCTGGGCCAAATCCAGCCCACCACCTGTTTCTGTAAATGAAGCTTGATTTAGATGTTGCCTAAGTTCTAGACTACTTCCAGGCAGGTGAAGGGTCATTTACCAGGCTCTAACAATGCCCTGGTTTCACAGCACCATTCTCAGGAAGACCCAGTGCTCTTTATTCTAACCTTTCTTCATAAACTAAAATAAAATGTTCATTAAAAAAAGAAGCTCTGATTCCCATAGGTGACCTCTCATTGCAATGAAACAGAGGCATTCTGCATCATCAATCATTCAATCAGTTATTCAGTTTCTAAGAGGCTCAGTACCCTGGGGGAGATTCAAAATTGGAGATTCTTCTTTTTTAAAAAATATTTTAGTCTGTTTTCTTTATTTTGCAATTGAAGAAACAGACACCTCCAAAAATTTCTCTCTTAGTTCACCACTTTTTTCATCACACCGCAACTGCTTACCAAAATCCAATGTGTTATCAAAGCACTCTTAATCAACTCCTTTGCTCTTTAAGACTTGCTGTTCAGGCAATGTATAAAACCCAAACCAAACCCACTGCCATCACATCGATTTTGACTCATAGTGACCCTACAGGGCAGGGCAGAACTGCCCCATAAGGTTTCCAAGGCTATACATTTTTTTCTTTTTTAGTGCAATTTTTTCTGTTGTGTGTGTTTTAGGTGAAAGTTTACAGCGCAAATTAGTATCTCATTTAAAAATTTACACACAGTTTTGTGACACTGGCTGCAATCACCGCAATGTGTCAGCACTCTTCCCCTTTCCCTTTCCACCCCAGGTTCTCCATGTCCATTCGTCCAGTTTTCCTGTCCCTTCCTGCCTTCTTGTCTTTGCTTTTGAGCAGATGTTGCCCATTTGGTCTCGTATATTTGACTGAACTAAGAAGCACACTCCTCACGTGTGTTACTTGTTTCTTTTATAGACCTGTCTAATCTTTGGCCAAAAGGTGGACTTTGGGAGTGGCTTCAGTTCTGAGTTAGCAGGGTGCTTGGGGTCCATAGTCTTGGGGGTTCCTAGTCTGGTCTTTTTTGTGAATTTTAGTTTTGTTCTACATTTTTCTCCCGCTCTGTCTGGGACCCTCTATTGTGATTCCTGTCATAGCAGTTGGTGGTGGTAGCCGGGCATCATATGGTTCTTCTGGGCTCAGGATGGTGGAGACTGTGGTTCATGTGATCCATTACTCCTTTGGACTAATATTTTCCTTGTGTATTTGGTCTTCTTCATTCTCCTTTGCTCCAAATGTGATGGGACCAATAGATGTTATCTTAGATGGCCACTCGCAAGGTTTTAAGGCCCCAGATGCTACCCACCAAAGTAGGAAGTAGAACATTTTCTTTATGAACTATGTTATGCCAACTGACCTAGATGTCCCCCAAGACCATCGTCCCCAGCCCTCAGCCCCGGTAACTCGGTCCCTCAAGGTATTTGGGATGTGTCTAGGAAGCTTCTATGGCTTTGCCTTGGTCAAGTTGTGCTGACTTCTCCTATACTGTGTGTTGTCTTTCCCTTCACCAAAGGTAACTTGTCTACTGTCTAGTTAGTGATTTCCCCTCCTCACCCCTCCCCTCCCTGGTAACCATCAAAGATTGTTTCTTTTTGTGTGTAAACCTCTTCTTGGATTTTTGTAATAGTGGTCTCATACAATATTTGTCCTTTTGTGATTGATTTATTTCACTCAGCATAATGCCCTCCAGATCAATCCATGTTGTGAGATATTTTGCGGATTCATCATTGTTCTTTATCATTCCGTAGTATTCCATTGTGTATATGCACCATAGTCTGTTGATAGGCACTTAGGTTGTTTTCATCTTTTTGCTATTGTAAATAACGCTGCAGTGAACATGGGTGTGCCTATGTCTATTCGTGTGACAGCTCTTATTTCTCTAGGATATATTCCTAGGAGTGGGATTGCTGGATCTTATGGTATTTCTATTTCTTGCTTTTTAAGGAAGTGCCATATCATTTTCCACAGTGGTTGTATCATTTCATATTCCCCCCAGCACTGCATAAGAGTTTCAATCTCTCTGCAACCTCTTCAACATTTGTTCTTTTTTGTTCTTTGATAATTGCCTGTAATGTCAGGGTGAGATGGTATCTCTGTGGTTTTGATCTGCCCTTCTCTAACGGCTAATGATTGCGAGCATTTCCTCATGTGTCTGTCAGCTGCCTCAATGTCTTCTTTGGTGAAGTCTCTGTTCATATCTTTTGCCCATTTTTTTAACTGGATTGTCTTTTTGGTGTTGAGGTGTTGAAGCATTCTATAGATTTGAGATTAGACCCTTGTCGGACATGTCATAGCCAAAAATTTTTTTCTAGTCTGTAGGCTCTCTTTTTACTCTTTTGGTGAAGTCTTTTGATGAGCATAAGTGTTTAATTTTTAGGAGCTCCCAGTTACCCAGTTTATCTTCTGGTGTTTGTGCATTGTTAGTTATGGTTTGTATCCTACTTATGCCATGTATTAGGGTCCCTAGTGTTATCCCTGTTTTTCTTCCATGATCTTTATCCTCTTAGGTTTTATATTTCAGTCTTTGATCCATTTTGAATTAGTTTTTGTGTATGATGTGATGTATGGGTCCTGTTCCATTTTTTTTATAGATGGACATACAGTTTTGCCAGCACCGTTTGTTAAAAAGCTGTCTTTTCCTCATTTAACAGACTTTGGCTCTTTGTCAAATATCAGCTTACAACAGGTGGATGATTTACATCTGAGGTTTCAATTCTGCTCCATTGATCTGTGTGTCTGTCATTGTACCAGTACCAGGCTATTTTGACTACTATGGCTGTATAGTAGCTTCTGAGGTCAGGTAGTGAGGCCTCCTACTTTGTTCTTTTTCTTCAGTCATGCTTTGCTTACTAGGGGCCTCTTTCTTTTCCATATAAAGTTGGTAATTAATTTTTCCATCTCATTAAAGAAAGCTGTTGGTATTTGGATTGGGACTGCATTGTATCTGTAGATCATTTTTGATAGGGCTGACATTTTTACAATGTTGAGTCTTTGTATCCATGAGTATGGTATGTTTTTCCATTTATGTAGGTCTCTTTGGTTTCTTGCACTAGTGTTTTGTAGTTTTCTTTGTATAGGTCTTTGACGTCCCTGGTTAGGTTTATTCCTAAGTGTTTTGTCTTTTTAGGGGCTATTATAAATGGTATTGTTCAAAATCAAAGCTTCTTAACCTGAAAAACTGGCAGCCAGAAACGGAGCTTGTGAAGGCATGACAATCAATTAGTTAATTCAGCCACTCAAATATTTTATCCAGTGTCTACTCTGTGCCAGGCTGAAATACATAGATTGAAAAGACCTCATAGCATGTCAGTAAATACTTTATGTAGAGCAAATCTATGCTGTTATTTATGACACCAAAAGACCTGAGGAAGAACACAACCTACTTTCAAGCCAGCAGACTGACACAGACAAACCGTGCTGCTTTGATAGCTACTGCAACGAGAGCCCCAAGACAAAGAACTCTGGCTTCGCGTCAACAGTAGCAGCCACAGGAGCAGAACCTGCAAGCTCTGGGAGGGCAGGAACCACGCCTGCCTCTCTGCTTCGTCTGGAGTGCCTGGCACAATGCCAAGAACACAACAAGGGTTCCATGAATATTTGTTATCTGAAGCTCCTGATAAGTTGAAGTTTGAAAGCCCCAGTCTGGAAGTCAGATTTCCTAACCCTATACTAATTCTCACATTAAAGAGATCAAATTCTTGATACCTGGACTGTCTGGTAATCAGAAGCATCAATTCCTTTCACAGTCACCTCTCGGAAAACTCTTGGCTCCAGTTCCTCTTTGGTAAGATCACAGTGATAAATAATACCTAAAAAAGAGTAGAATTCTCAGTTTAGTCTGGAAGGTTCACTAGACACAAAAGGGGGCAAGACTCACAAAGCACGACCAGATGCCATGATTGGCAAGAGAGGAGCATTAGTGGGGAACGTTGAGAATCACCATGGCTGTGGAAGGGTCACTGCATGAAGAGCCTGGCGTGTGGAGTGCTGTGTAAGTGATCACTCTTCACCATCATTTTTTTTTTTTTAAAACCATAATCTGTGTAAAAATTTTAGAAGATTCTTGCGCATTCTGTGAATATGAGGAGTAAAAAATCTAACTATAAAACTTAGCAGGTTTTTCCCAAGCCAGGTTGCTTAGGAGTGCAGGTCAAAGTAAATGGTGAACTTCATCTAGGGCCATCTTACCTGAGAGGTAGAAAATACAGTGACTTGCTCAAGGTCAAAACCTTGGGCGTTTCTTGGTGGCTATCCTGGGGCTCCTGCTACATGACATCTACACATCTGTCACATATATGTGGACAGCAATCAGGGACCAAAGGCGATCAGGCACCCATTTCAGAGCTGCCTTTTAAATTTTGGTTATCCTAGTAATTGTGCACAACACAGAATGACAGTATGCACCAAGAATTCCAGCATATTTAACCACTAATTAAAATTCCATTTTTTTAATTTAATGCTACTACCCCCTAACATTTAAGAATTAAATGAAAGAAGCAATAAGTAAGACAAATAATTAATGTTTGAAAACAGTGATACTAGTGTGGTTTGTGAAACAGAATTAGTCACCCACAGAGTGGTTGGTACAGAAACAGCATTCCCTCCCAATATACTTTAAACATATGCTCTCAAGTATATGAAAAACCAATTTAGAGATCCCAGTACTTGCTCTAGAAAACCAGAAACCAAATGTACTCCCACAGGACACATTTGCATATATTGACTGATCATGTATTAAAATGTCGGCTCTTTTTTTCTCCTCAACTCCTCTGTGTGTGTACTTCATTATCAGTTGAGAAACAATACTCTGCTCTTCACTGGCAAAGAGTAATACACTTAGAATTCTTTAGAATCATGACTGCTAATCTCTCTGAGTGTTATTTCCATTCTCATGCTTGGACAAATTATTTTAAGGTTACTACAAGGAACCATGGTGGCGCCACTGTTAAGCGCTCAATTGCTAACCAAAAGGTCAGCAGTTCAAACCCATAGGCGGTTCCATGAGAAAGAACACCTGGTGATCCACTCCCATAAAAGATTACAGCTTTGGGAACCCTATAGGGAAGTTCTACTCTGTCCTATAGGATCACTATGAGTCAGAATCGACTTGATGGCAACAACAGGACATATAATTAACACTGACAGTGAGGAGCTATAATGTGACTTAAGTATTGGCTTTCTTAGTTTTAGTTATACTTGGACATTTGTTAGAATATAGGTTCATAAAAATACTTCCAAAATATACTCTGTGAATATGCATTCTAATTTACCAGACACACTGAATACTGTCCTTCCCCATATGAATGTAGTGTTGAGGGCAAAGGCTATCCTCAGATATATTTTAATTTACAGAGAGCATCTTGATCATTCCCCCCCCCCGCCAAAAAAAAAGAGTACAGACTAAGCATGTGCCATTTGGACACCTGACTCAGCCTGGAGTCACTGCTATTTGGAGTACGGTGAATGACGCAGGACTTGGGAGTCAAAATTCCCAACTTGGGCAGTTATCAGCTCAGAGACCTTATACAAGTTACCAAAGTACTAGAATGCAAATTTCCCTAGTGAAAAACAATGAGTAGGAAGCACATTCTAAACACTTGTTTATCTAAGAAGTCAAATCTCCTAATCAATACCCTATTAGCAGAATGTGATAAATAAACAACAGGGATTGTTTACTTTCAGAGAATAGGGCCAAGTGTCTGACCTCTATTCTGTCTTCTGCATCATAAGTGGTACCTTAGAGGAGGCTCTGTTCAACCTGAGGTACTAGTGCTTAATATATTTTACATTATGTTCTATTTATAGATTCATCTGAGTCAGACCAGGTTAATCCACTGCACATTCACACAATAATCTAACGATCCTTTGTGTCTTATCTGAGAAGGCTTGAGTGGATAACTCCAAGGAATGTGCGGTTTGATAAAAACATCCTAGAATCATGAACCAGAGAGGACTGGTTAGGTGATCTCTAGGAAATAAATTTCAAAGTTTAAGGGTGAAAGAGAGAATTGTTTTATGGAAGTCCCTTAAGGCCACAGGAGGTTTTGGACTTGAGGAAATATCTCCTAAAGAACAGAGTGCTTTAGAAAGGCTATTCTAGCACTTGAATGGAGGCAGGGAGACCAGCCTGGATGTTCCTGCTGTAATTTGAAATAAATATAAGGAGGTAGAAGAAGTGGGAGTTAGGAGGAAGGGGCAACTCCAGGAGAAACTGCAAAAAGAAAAATAGAAAAGAAGAAGAAGAAAAAAAAATCAGAAGAAACCAAAAAATTGCATACATAAGGAGAAGGAAAAAGAACATTGTAAAAAATGACCCATGTAAATAGTGTTTTATCTGATTATAGCCTGGGTTCTAATGTTATAAAAAAACAAACCCAAGTCTCTTAATAAAATTGCCTTTCCTTAGCAGTCTAGGAAAGGCTTTATTCATGTCTCATGCCTGCTTCTCAGAGCTGTGCATTTGGGACTGCTCTACTGGATTATTACAACGTGCAAGTCTGTCTAGAACTAACCTTAGCCAACCCTCCAAGGTCCCACTAGTGTAGAATTAATCAGCTCAACCACTAAGTGGTTCGAGCTACAGGGAAAAAGCTCATCGTGCTCCAAATTGCCCCGGCTGCACGTTTTCCTCCCAAGTATGACTCAAGGTGCAAAAGTCCTAAATGGCTTGGGATCAAGATGTGTCGTCAGTATGCACCTCCATGAGAAACAAAGTCAGCTGGCATGCACCTGCCAGATGTACTCACATGTCAACAGGAGGAAGTTGGAGCTCAGTTATTTTTGGCCCTGGAGCTTTACTTACAATTTAGTGTCTCTGCTGTTTACTGTAGTACTAAAGCATTAACCTTCAGAGAACAGTGCAAGACAGCTTTTGAGCTGATGTACATGTGTACAAATGTGTATACACACACACACACACACACACACACACACACACTCTGACAATTCTCCATTTTAAGATATCTAGTTTAATTATCTGATAGCCATTTTTACATGTAGACCCAAAGGCCTGAGTCTGGAAACCCTATTCTCTGGCCTTACATATCTAATTGCATTAAGGAGAAAGAAAGGGAAAGATAAAAGCAAATGAACAAGAGAAGACCAAGGAGACTTACAAAGCATTATAGTAACAAATTAAAACTTGCCCAGAAGCTGCCTTGGAGGTACCAAACTAGGAATACACTTTGCTTTTCATACTTCACAGCCACAGTCACGAATAATATTTCACTGCTTGGCAAAGAACTCATCATTTTACATTAGGACAATGAGCTCTTTCTTCCTCAGGTAATGATGAGCTTGTTCCTGAAATAAATGGTCACACGGATCATTGAAGGAGGTTTATATGCCTTTGGGGACTTGGGCTTTCATTAAGAGCAGGTAAGTCACCTCCACTCTCTTCTCCTCACTGTCCTGTATCCAACAAAATCCAGAATTATTTGGCAAATAAAGAAAGTCAAGTATTTAAATACATCCTTTTGGAACTAATTCCCCACACAGCAATTTCCAGTTTCATGTGACACTAAACAGACTTTTCTGCAAGTTTCCTCTCAAATCAAACAGCAGACACCTGTGCTCACTGGAATCACCAAATTTACAATTTCTTTTAAGCCTTGAAAATGTCATTTTCTGAAATGGGAAAGGGGCCATTGTCCCTGTTTGAACTATTTAAGCTATGATATTTTCCAGAGTGAAATTTCTGGAACCAGCATCAATTTGAGGACCCCACAGCAGTGGGTTGAGAATGACTATCTGGAGGAAACCGATTCTTCTTGGTGCCTGTCCACTGACGCTGCTATGCTCCAGGCCCCAGGGGAATGGGACAAGGTGCAGGCAGCCTGACTGGGTTCTTAAAACTTCCAGTTCCCGATTCCTGGCCCTGGGTGTGGTGTCCACATACTTGTGGGCACTTTTCTTAGCCCCTGTAGAGCCTCTGAAATATACTTGGGAAAGTAAAGCTTGCTAGGATTTCCAGATATACCATCAGACCTACTTACAGAACATCTTTCTTCTGGTTTTAATAACCTTGACAGCAACCTGTCACAGGATAAGATTCTATATGGGCTGCCTGCTCTGTGGCTCAAAAGAAAAGTGGATGAGGCACCACTGTCATCTGGCCAAATCCCCGGTGGAGGACAGGCCCACTTCAGCACCTGCCTAGCTCTTTCATAAGACTGCTTTATTTTCCAGTGACCAAACTACTGCAACAAAACCAGAAAGTGCTACAGAGCTCAATAAATGAACAAGGAAAGTGTAGAAATTTTTTCAGCCAGATTGCTTTTAGGACAAAGTCTGCCTGGTCAACTGCGAACTGCCCACTGGGCCCTACTCCGGGGACAAATCAGAGTATGTGTATGCCTCTGACTATAACAAAACAGTGCAGTCGAATGGAGAAGTAGAGAAAACAAAAAACAAAGCAGATTAATCTGACCAACTTAAAAAGAGAACTGTATTCACTCTGGGGAAAATTTAAATACCATGAAACTTAAAAATCACAACTCACAAGCATTTTTCCCTTTTCTACTAGAACCAAGTAACAGATACATTTTTTTCTAAATAACATAAGACTATGCTTTTAGAATTATATTTTATTTCAGCTTAACAGTAGCAGAAGATATAACAACAGATTTATTCTTAGTTTGTTCTAGAAGCCATTTTTTAAATGTCATATTGTAGCTAGAGATTTTATTTTATGCTTTTTAATTATCTGCACTGTGTGTCCTTGAATATATAGTCCAAAAAAGACAAAGACTGAATCTAATGTTATACTTGTTTATACTGATTTTTTTTTTTTTAATCAACTTAGAACACCAGTTGTTCTGTCCCCAGAAGAACAGAGACTCCACATATAAGATTAATGAGAGTGTGGTTCTTAGACTTCTACATTTCTTTGTTCTGAGCATCTGTTTTACTGTTTTATTCCCATTAAGTAATCTTGGCTGTAATACATCATATGTGATTTTCAATAACCCAGCATTATGGACCAATTTTGCAAAAGAAATCCAAACATCCAATTTTTAAAGCGAGTGATGATGCTGAAAAGACTCTCACCTGGAGATAAAAAGGAAGTAAACTGGTAGAAGATTTCAGTATCCTTCTTCTGACCACTGTATCCCACGATGCTTCCAACCTCGAGTGGGAAGGTCTTCAGGAAGGCGCCAGTAGCCAGGTCGTGAAGCTGCAGAATGTTCTTCACGTCATGGAGGTAGCATAAGACCAAAAAGTTGGACCTGACACAAGCTACCCATTCTGAAAAGATGAGAAGTAGTGATAAAGCCTAATGTGGTTTTGGAAGTTAGAGAAAAAAACATGTGTTTCATTAAACAATATTCTTGAGCATCAGCCATACATTGTGCTATGCAGAAATGATACTTGCAAGGTGATTTATACTGGCTTCAATCATTCAATCTAGTTTTCAGCATATTCCTTTAATAAATTCTTGTTCCTGTCATGTACAGAGGAAACAAACTATTTTCTACATTGGGCCAGTGGCTCTTGATGATCTAGATGACATGTGTAATACCAGTAACCCTGCCTACTTATCTTGTGTCCAATACCATGCTACAGGAGATATAAGGAAGAAAATATTAAAAACAAAAACAAATCATAATCCATGTCTGTCAGGGCTGTTTATAATACAAAATGTATTAAGCACCTGGTATGTTCCAGATACCCTGCAAAATACTAGAGAGACAAGGAATACAATAACACCATTTCTGCCCTTGAGACAGGATCATATAAAAATACAAGTAAACAAAACGTAAACAAAGGTTGGTAATGGTGAGAAGGGGACCCAAAACAAGTGAGAGCCCTTAAGCAAGTGCTGAGTTGTACCTTTCGTACCTGCGCAGAGCAGGGGGAGGGGAGTTGTCCGGAACAGAACAGCTCTCCAGGAGACAATCTGGTGGGAAGACAGATGACTCAAGGAAGGAAAGCCAGAGATAGGAATAGGGACAGAATGAATGAATGAATGAACAAACAGACTGGTAAAGACGACAAGTAAGAGATCAATTTTCAAGAAGAAGAAAAAAATTGTAGCACTTTTTGGTTTTGTTGCAGTAGTTTGGTCACTGGAAAACAAAGCAGTCTTACGAAGGAGCTAGGCAGGTGCTGAAGTGGGTCTCTCCTCCACCAGGGAAGAGTTTAGTTCTGACTTAGCCATTACTAAGGAGCTAAGAAGGGTGACATAAATAAAGATGATGTGAATGAAGCACGTGTGTATCTACAGCTGAACGCAGAACAACGGAGGGAAGACCAGTAAGAACACTACTGCAATAAACCAGGCTGAACATCAAATCAAGCTGGGGATAAAGTCTGGACAGGAAAGAAAACAAATGAAAGGTATTGCCCAAGAAGAATCACCAGGTCTTGATGACTGCGGGGAGAACAAGGCAGAGAAATGAGTCCTCCTCAACTCCTAGGATCTAACTTGCAAAAACGGTGCTGTCATCGACGGAGCTGGGAGAGTATAGGTGAGTGACGTGAAAGAGAAAGAAGAAAACAGAAGGGCATAATCCATTCCCTTGTGGAGGAGATAAGCCTAAAGTAAAGACAGGCCATGGAGAGAGAGAGATGCTGTGGCAAATGGAAGTAAGGGCAGGGCTGCAGGTAACAGCTCAAACATGTTAGAAAGACAAACCTTTCCTGAGTTTCATGGTTGTGGGGAGTTGTATGTATGTGTGGGAGGTTCTCATTTTTATAACACAAGAAACTAGGAGTTCAAGCTAATAATGTCAACTATCAACATGAACAATAAGACATCAGCCAGCAGGAACTCTGAGGATCACCAGGGCCTTCAATCTCCTTGGGTTGTATAGATTACAACAGCAAACTTCTCCTCAAGTGAGGATACAAAGAAGTCTTATATCTAAAAGTAATTTGCTCATTATCCAATACATTTTTTTAAAGCAACTCGATCAAGCAATATATTTCACCTGACTTAAATGTTTTAAAGTGAGAAAGTATGGAAAAAATTGAAGTAAATTATTTCTGTCAAAGGATAATCTGTGTTAATTGTAAGAACGTTAGAATTATAAAACAGACAAAGTGAATAAGAAAAGGACAAGGTGATTTGTAGGCTGTCATTAATATAAGCTCTGACTTCATAGCTGTACTTTATGACTCATCTCTAGTTTTTATTCTCAACAGAGCATTCTGTGATAATGATATATAGCAAATTCAACTGTGCTTCTCTTTAAACTGATGAGTTCTAGTGAATATTGAAGGTTTCCTCTTTCCATTCTGAAGAACTTATAACCTTTCAGAAGCATTCAGAACAAATCCTAAGCATTTATTTGCATTTCATTAGACCTACAGGTGAGATAGTATGTCACCGTAAGGCATAGTTAAAACCGCTTTTTTAGGCTTTAAAAGGCAGCAAATTCATACTGCCTTGGGAAGAAATATTTACAATATCCTTGATAGCTCCCTATAAGAGAATCACTGTGCCAATCTAACGGAAGCCTGAAAAATACCCAGGGCACCCTAAACAAAGACTCATGCTACCAAAGTCTCATTTGAACCCACCAACTCACAAGGTCAAAGCATGTGAAGCTGAGTGCTGAAGAAGCACTTGGTAATTGCTGGCTATTACCACACTCAGAAGTGAGGATGATGAGACTTCATCTTGCTTACTTTGGACATGTCATCAGGAAAGACCAATTGCTAGAAAAGGACATCATGGTAGGTAAAGTAGAAGGTCAGCAAAAACGAGGAAAACCTCCTCAATGAGATGGACTGACACAGTGGCTACAACAATGGGCTCAAACATACCGATTATGAAGATGGCACAGGATGAGGCAACACTTTCTTCTGTTATACATAAGGTTGCCATGAGTTCGAGCCGATTCAGCAACTAATAAACAACCACCACCATCTTTAGGAAGGATAGTCCTGCCTCCGTTTTGTAGCCATGAGGCTACCAACCAAAAATGCCGTCGAGTCAATTCCAACTATATGACAGAATTGAACTGTCCCAGAGGGTTTCCAAGGAGTGGCTGGTGGATTCAAACTGCTGACCTTTTGGTTAGTAGTCGAACGCTTAACCACAAGGCCACCAGAGCTCCTGAGGCTACTAAAGCGACTAAAAAATAGATCCCTCGCATGAAGGTGTTGAAAGAAATGGCCAAAAACCCATTCCATGACTTGTGGATCCTTTATCCAGATATAAAAAGGGGTCAGAAAGTGAACGGAAGTTTTTGAGGAGACAAGTGAAGAAACTTCCTTAGAAAGAGCTCCAGTCACGCTGTAAGGCCCCTTTCAAACTGCAGAGAGTGTGTGACAGTGTCATTACCTTCCATCTCCAGCCTGAGACAGAACAATGGTGCCTGATCCAAACCTGACGAGTTAAGGTGGCTGTGAATGGGAAGTCTAGAAGGTAGGAGAAGCACTGACTAGCTGCTTTAGGGTCAGAGCCAGGGATGGGCTGCTGCTTCAGGGCTGCAGATGTGGGTTTTAACGGAAAGAGCAAGCACGCAGTTATCTTGGGTCCTGTCCAATAGGACTGCCTGGAGGACTGCAGAGACCCCAGTACAGAAGAGGGTGCAGGGGGGCGGGCAGATGCCAAGGGGCTGAGGAGAGTCTCAAGCAAACCCTTCCTCTGGAGCCTTGCAGAAAAAAGGGCACAGTACGAAGCACAACCTGAGAGCATCAGCTGCAATTGTTTGCCATCCTTCCACCCCTCAGCAATGCCTGGCTTAAATATCAGCCGGGCACAAAAAACACAAAGCCACCAGCCAGGGGAAAAAGCTTCCCTCACTTTTCCAGGACATGGACCTGGATATGCCTAACTCCCACACCTGGATTTTAACTGAGCATCCCATATAGTTTCACTGGAAAACACATTTAAGGATTGCTTTAACCAAAAGGTCGGCAGTTTAAATCCACCAGCCGCTCCTTGGAAACCCTATGGGGCAGTTCTCCTCTGTCCTATAGGGTCACTATGAGTTGCAATCGACTCAATGGCAACAGGTTTGGTTTTTTTGGTTTTATCTGAGATAGGGCGACTTTGCAGCACTCAAAAGGGATTATTTTCCTGATAATATACCATATATCTTTGCATTTTTGGATGGTCCTAGATTTTAACCCATCAGCAGAAGTTCACATCCAGCAAGTCAACTCTTCACTGGCCTGAAGGTCTAAACTCTCCTTTCGTGTAAAAACACCCCTAGCAAAATTAACGAGTCTTATTCTAATCAAATCCAGCTTTAGGCAATAATCTATAAAGCTGCATACCAATTTTTTGAAAGTCACAGAGAAAATGAATAAAAGGGAATTTAAAGGCACTCTGAAACATAATTCCTGTTACGGAAGTTCTCAAGAGGTTAATGTAGTTCAGTGCACACAGCAGCAATTGCAAAGGGTTTCAATTAACTGTGACAATAGCCTATTCTCTTATCTAATAAGAGGAAGGCAAACTCATCTCAAGGTCTACAATAGGTAAAATGTAAACAGCTAAAAGGTTATTCAAATGCTTAAAGCTTTAAGTTCTGAATCTGAATGGTTTAAAAAATTGAATGTTAGTGATTATCAGCAGACAATAGCTACACAGAGATGACTGATATTTTTTAAAAAGCAGTACCTTTGAAAGTCTGAATTCATACCTTCACAGTTTTTATGAAGACCCTGCATTTCTACATACCAGCACACTAAGTTACAAAGATGTCATACAGTAAATGCTTGGTTGCACTATTTAGACACTTCGTTCCCAATGATTAGAGGTTCAAAGCGCCTAACCTTGTAACTGGTCGTCAGAGAATGAGAGAGGTTATCAACTTCTTGACCTTCTCACTAAAACTAAAAGCACAACTTTCAAGGAACATATAATCTTACCTAAGACATCTTTCTCATGCTCAGGAACAAGCACTTTCCACTTAGACTCGTCAGGATCCGTGAAGTCTATGTTGATCAGGCGGTAGTTGGGAGAATGGCGATTTGTCTTGAACGTGAACACTGTCCCCTCATTGGTTACGTAGTCATATTCTCCTTCAAAGTTGTCTATCAGCTTTACCCACTTCAGAATTCCTGGCAAGAGACCAAGCATTCCTGTCACCTCTCCAATGTTTAAAGACGGTGTTGGTTTGGGGAGGGGGTGGGAGGAGATAGGATCTTGTCTGTCTATAGACCACAAAATAGAGACAATATTTGGAAGATCTGAGGACAAGTTGTAGGTGAATTAAAAGATTTAGGAGAAAAAAAAAAAAGCTAAGGAGTCCCTGAGAAACCTGGCAGTAAGTGAGGAGTGAAGGATCTCTTCCTCCAGCACAACACCCCAGGTATCTGGTAATCCACTTTTACCTGAATGTGCATTAAATCTGAGTACTTCTCTTCACTTCCACCATCTCAGCATACTACATTTTCACCATTTCCCTCCTGGTCTATAGCAGTGATTTTCAACCAGGGGTGATCTGAACCCCAAGGGACATTTGACAATGGCTGGAGACATTTTTGGTTCTCATAACTGGGGGAGAAGGGTACTACTGGCATCTAGTGGGTAAAGGCCAGGGATGCTGCTAATCATCCTACAATGCACAGGACAGCCTCCAACAACAAAGAATTACCCAGTCAAAATGTCAATGGTGCCAAGGCTGAAAACCCTGGTCTATGGCATTAGCTCCCTACCTAGTCTTCGCACTGCCACTCTTGACTGTCATGGTATAGCAGCCACCACAATGTCTGTACATGCTAAATTGGTCCATGGTAGTGCCCTTCTCAGAGACTTTCAATGACTTCGCCATTATACTTCGAATAAAATCCAAATTCCTTTCCATGGCCTCCATCTTCCTGCATGTTGCAGTCCTTGCCCACTTAGCCAACCTGGGCTTGTTCCAACTCTCACCTCACCCGGTCCTTAAGTAGCACTGGCCTTTGTTAGATTTCTTAGAATCTGCTTCAGGACTTTGACACAGGCTGTTTCCTCTACCCCGCTCACCCTCAAATGGCTAGCCACTTCTAACTGGTATTAAGTTCATTTCTTTACAGCACCTCTCTCAAGATACAATTACGTACTTATTAGTTTGTTTAGTATTTGTCTTTATTCACTATTTCATACTTAGCACCAAAGTAGAGTGGCATGTACTCCAAAGGTGGAAAATAAAATTTGCGTTGAATGAAAGAAAAAACACATGCCAGCCCTTTAGTCCTAAGAAATACTCTGGAAATGCCTATCACTAAAAAAAAAATCTTAACTCACTAATGCCACTTTTAAATATTAAATTAAAAAAAAAAAAAAAACCCACTCAGAAGACATCTTTCTTCACTATGTATCCAGCTTTGATGCTCAAAGAACATCTGGAAAGTTTTATAAACAGGAAAGTTCTATGACTTCTAAGCTAATGAAAGGCAACACTGGGTTTTAGCTATTCTCCAATCATCTCCTACTTTCAATTTCACAGTGAAATTGCTACATTAATTTGGATAGTTCATTCATATGAACTTTCAAAGCCAATTTACATTCATTATCTCATATATCTTCATAGCATATCTTTATATAATTTGTTGCTGAATTAAATTTATCAGGGAAAACATAATCCCATGGTAGAAAGAGAGTGAGTTTTGTGGTCAGACATATCTAATTAAAATCCCAGCCCTACTCCTATTGATTTGTGTGACCTTGAGCAATCTCTTATCCTCCCTAAGCTTCATATTCTTGATCGTAAACAAGGAATAGTAAGTAAATGTGAAAATTATTATAATATGCCTACTAGTACCTAGCCCACAACAAAAACTCAATGTATATTAAAATCAATAATCGGAATTAAAACAAGATAAGCACCTAAAAAAAGTCAATAGCTTTCCTACATACCAATACCCAGTTAGAAAATATGAAAAAAGAACACAAAAAACCTTATTCACAATAGAAACAAAAGTAATAACACACTTTGGAATGCACTTAACGTGAAACGTGAAGTCTATATAAAGAAAGCACTAAAATTTTTTTTTAAGAAACCTAAAAATAACTTGAGTAACTAGAAACATATACTATAGCCCTAGATAGACTGAGTATTTCAAAAAGGCAAAATAATCCCAGAGGAAATCTCAAATTTACACAATTCCAATCAAAATCCAAATGAAACTTTTGGGGAATTTGACAACATCATTCTAAAGTTCATCTGGAAGAATAAACACATAAGGACAGTCAATATATTTTTGACAAAAGAATAATGAGGAAGAACTTCTTGCCTTATGATGCTCTGAACACACTCCCCTTTCTCCTGAAGGTAATCACTGACTTTCACAGTAACCACTTCCTTGCTTTTCTTTGTACTTATTCTGCTTTTATACGCATCCATAAATATTACAGTCTAGTTTTATCTCATTTTTGAACTTTACGTAGAATAAATAATACAATTTTTTTTTGTATCTGGCTTCTTTCACTTGACATTATATTTGTGAGATTATCTATCCTCTGGTTATTGTTACTGTTTTCTAGCTAAATCCTACTGTGCCCAAAGAAAGTACTCCATATGATTTCAATCCTTTTAAATGTGAGATAAGCTTGATGGCCTAGTTTAAAAAAAAAAAAAGACTTTTATAACTGTTCCTGTGTTTGACTGAAAAGAATGTGTATTCTGTAGCCACTGGGTGGGATATGATAAATTTGTCTATTAGGTCATATGTCAATCATATTGTTCAGTGTACATCTTTACTGATTTTTTTTGGCCACTTGGTCTATTGGTCATAGAAAGGTATATTAAATTTTCTTCCATAATTCTGGATTTGTTTATTTTTACTTGTATTTCTGTTAATTTTTGCTTCCTGTATTTTGAAATCATGCTATCAGATACACAAATTTAGAATTATTATTTGCAAATAAAACGAAACAAAACTTTATGACATTTTATCTCTAGTAACACTTTTTACTTTAAACTCTACTTAGATATTAAGACAGCTACATCATTTTCATGTGATATCTTGAACCAACTATTCACTTCCTCATTAGCTCTGTGAAGTCTTCAAATGGCTATTTTCCCCTCAGCTTTCCTAGAAGTCTTCTGCAGAACAGCTGGTTCCAATTATGTAGTTTGTAACTTCTGGAAAGAGTTTGCTCTTCTCCATGTCTCTTAACCTCTCTTATGTTTTCCATCTCTTGGGGCAACATTCTAGGTAATTTCCTTGTATCTATATTCTATTCACTAATTCTCTCTTTAACTGTGTCTAATCTCCTCTTTAACCTAAGAACTAAATTTTTAATGTTAGTGGTCATAGGTTTGATTGCTAGAAGTTCTTCCTAGTTCTTTTCCAAATCTATCTGGCAATTCTTTACACTATCTTGTTTCTTGCATGTTTTCAAGCTTCTCATTTACTTTTTTTCCCCTCAAGCTGTACCATACTAATAAGGAGCCCTGGTGGAACAACTGTTAAGCACTTAGCTGCTAACCAAAAGGTTGGTGGTTTGAACCCACCTGGTGGCTCCATAGGAGAAAGACCTGGTGATCTGCTCCTATAAAGATTGCAGCCTAGAAAACCCTATGGGGAAGTTCTACTCTGTCACATGGGGTCACTATGAGTCAAAATCAGCTTGATGGCACCTAACAACAACAACAATCACACTAATCCTTTATTTTAAAATACGTATTAAAGATATTTATTTTACATTAAGAGTCTGATAATTCTACTTGCTGGTGTTTTTGCTAGCTCTATTTTTCATGATGATGAATTTCTTTGTCTGCTTTATGAGTTTTGACTACGAACTGCTGATTTCCCTTGAAACATCTGTGGGAATTTTTGAGGCCTGAGTTGAATTTGCACTTCCAGAGAGGATTTGTACTTGCTTCTGTTTGCCTCTTGAGATACAACTAACCCAGTAGCAGTTTAAACTAAATTCTTGGCAAGAGGACTTTTGGACCTGATAGGTACAATCAGTTCAACCTGCACCCATGTGAAGTTCAGCTTTTCTCATGTTTTAGAAGAATTCACATGCTGCCTCCCCTCAATCCCAACTAGTGCCAAGGTAAAGACAGGTGGGTTTCCTTGCTGTACTCTCCTCCTGCATGCCCCCCACTCCCCCACTGGTATTTATCAATCATCCTTACATTGAGGACATCTCTCATTAGACTCTCAACCTTAGAAGACTCGAGGCTTTATCTACTATCCCCCATAATGGGGCAGCCATCGAAGGGAAGCCCAACCTCCAAGACACAACAGAAATATTCAGGGACAATCCAGCTTACATCTCAAGATTCCTGCATTCCTGCTTTCACTGTGTCTTTGGCCTCTATGGTTTCCCTTGTGACAATTTAGCAATTTATTTACAATGATGCTTTATAAACTTTTCATAGCATTTCAGTTGTTCCAGTTGGGAAGCTAATCAGAGTATGCAATCTGCCAAACTCTCAAGAACAAATGTCCTTACAATTAATTTTTATGAAAGGTTAAACTCTGCATCTAAGTTACAGTGATGCTAATTTCAGTGACAAATGACTAACCCAGAAAGATCAGTCAGCAGGTGATCTACTCAAAGGTAACTGCACCTCAGTGTGCATAGAACAATAGTTTAAATGGAAAACACCATTACTTAAACAGAACAATATAAGCTTAAAAAATTAGATGGCAATGCAAAATTTGCAGATAATCAGAAATAAGAATCAAAAAGGTAACTCTGTTTAAAGTAAGAATGATAAAACAGAATTTTCTGGACTATGACATTTGTAGACACAGAATCTTAGTTCAGCAAAATGTCAGATTCCTTCAATGTTCCCCTGACAATAAAGCATTTCTGACATAAAACATTTATTTCTTAATGTAACTATCTTATGGTTTCTGCCTGAAAAGGTCCTGCAGCCAGTGGCATTTATTATGACTATAAAAATAAACAGTTACTCAAGCATCCATCAAAGGCAAAACACAGTAGGAATTTCCTTCAGTACTGCTGTCTGATCAGCTGAGCGTGAAGATGTGGCACACCTGTTTACATAATCAAGCTCCAAAGAACATAAAAACAATGAAATAGTTTGTGGTCGGTCATTATCTGTCACCAAACCTTCGCCATAAGCACATATTAGGAGTCATAAGTTCATTTAGAA